CTTGGAAATGTTTTGGCCTGAGTCTGATCGTGTGATTAGCATTTTGAACTGGGTATACAAGGGTCTCGGGTTCGAAACATGGTGCTACTAAACATTCTTCTCAATTTTAACTGTGATTGTTTTAAAAAAGTGACAGTCAATACTGCTCTTCGGTTTAGAGTAGTCGCTTTAGGTGGCGGGTGCTTCCAATTACTTGTCTTCCTTTTAGTCCGAAATTCAAAATTAGGAACGGCTACGCCTGAACCATGAGAGCTTCTGACCTGGTCGCTAACGCAAGCATATATGTATATTGCTCAGAGCCCTTTCACTACCCGCCTCCAAGCTTTTTCTTTTTTTTTTTGCTCAGATAAAAAACTGTCCTCTCTCAAATTCAGTAGAGTTACGTAACATATTGACTACATGTTAGGCCGTTTCTATGTTATTCGCAACAGAAACGACGAAACGATCCTTTGAAGCTTACGCAGTCTTTCAGTTTCTTTCTGAAAGGAAACAACTGCATCTATTAAAACAATTCTCCATTTTCACTTTCTTGGGTCAAAACGGAACGTGGGGATATTTTCTACAAAAATGTTTTCTGGTGGCCATTACCTCTGAAAATTTCATTCTGTTGACTTCAGAACAGCTGAAAATGACAAGAAGTTACCGGTTCACATTCCATCCTGAGCAGTTATTTTATTTGATCTTAATAGCTAGGAAGGTTATTAGTTATTCCCCTTTCTTGTATTTGACAACAAACATCATTAATACTTATGTTCTTTCTTTTATATGTCAACAGATATAGTTAGCAGTTATGTCATTTTTTTATTCGGCAAAAGACACGTTTAATAATTATGTTTTATTTTTATAGGGCAAGAAACATGTTGGTAGTTGTGTCTTACTTTAACATGTCAACAAATATGTTTGTAGTTGTGTCTTATTTTTATATGGTTACAAATACGTTTATTAGTTAAGTCTTTTTTTTTTTTTAGAAGACAACAAACATGGTTAATAGTTACGTCATATTTTATATGACAACAAACATGTTAGTAGTTGTGTCTTACTTTTACATGTCAACAAATATGTTTGCAGTTGTGTCTTATTTTTATATGGCTACAAACACGTTTATTAGTTACGTCCTTTTTTTTTTTAGAAGACAACAAACATGGTTAGTAGTTATGTCATATTTTATATGACAACAGATATGTTTGCAGTTGTGTCTTATTTTTATATGGTAACAAACACGTTTATTAGTTGCGTCTTTGTTTTTTAGAAGACAACAAACATGGTTAGTAGTTATGCCTCCAAGTTTTGATATTCGTATTTTCTGACTGAACGGCAACTTAGGCTACACGAAGGCTAAAAGGTCAAGTAGGAAACCGTTAAAATTGAGGCATAGCCATCCCTTATTTTGAAAATGTTGTCGAAAATTAAGTCAAACAGTCAGTAGTATCAGCCGTATATTATTCGGCTTCCCTTAATGAAATACCGAAATGACTATTACGGTTATAACACAGTTGAAAGAGAGGAACGTGTCCAACAATATATCGCAACTCAAGCCTTGGATCTTGCGATCCGCAGTTCGGCACGCTAACCACTAGGCCACGTCTGGCCCTCTCTACTTTTACTTGGCAACAAATATGGTTAGTAATAGTGTTCCTTAAAGTGTAGGATACCTAGTAATATATGTGAGATACAATACAACTTTAAGACTGATAATAATTGAGATCACATTATTTACTAGCCCAGTAAGAGGATCCCTCAAAAATAGGATATAACAGCATTTTCATTACATTTTTTAGTTTGTTGTGAGTAAATCACGCTCTGTTTTTTCCAAATGTAAACTATTAACCACAACTAGTTAGCCAGGTTTCAGTGATTCTCTGTTCATGCTGTGTTGCACAGTTGTACTGGAAAAAAAAGGGCTTGAAGAAAAGAATCATTTTAGACAGATCTTGGAACCTTACACATAGTTAGGGTACACGTGGCTACGTTAGGTCATGTTCTGTCTAATGACAGTGCATACTGACGATAGCCCTGCAGTGTAGCTTACATTGCAAAAGGCTCCGTCATAAGGCCGTCATGTCTAAAGCATACTATTCCTCTCTGTACTTCTTTTCATAATCCGTATAGAGTACAAAGACGACATTTCCCAACACGCCTTTCATCAGTCCGATTGCACTGAAATACATAGGCACTGCGTCCGGTGACTTGACCGATATGTTTTCATGTGAGATAACATGAACACTCCTTTCATTAGTCCGATTGCACTGAAATACATAGTCACTGCATCCGGTGACTTGACCGATATGTTTTCATGTGAGATAACATGAACACCCCTTTCATCAGTCCGATTGCACTGAAATACATAGGCACTGCGTCCGGTGACTTGACCGATATGTTTTCATGTGAGATAACATGAACACCCCTTTCATGTTTCAGCTGCGACGGTTAAACGGGAGATATGACCGGAAGAAAGCCTTATCCTGGTGATATCCCGTTGGCCTTGTTTCCAGACGTTGACTATGTTGCGACCGTTACCTGGAACATATGGACGTTTTTCTTTTCACCGATCTTTGTGTTCATGAATTTTTACTTGTTACAAGACGCCGAACTTCGCTTACTACGGCAGGAGTACAACTTGTCGCAAGTCTCTTCCTGGATGGACCTGGTACTTCAAGCTGATCTTTATTCCTTTATTCTTAATACCGTTAAGAACAAAGTATATCCCACCTTGGAAGTTCTAACGGCTGTTACATACTCTACCCAAAAGCAATCACTTTCCGGTAGTATCACACTACATACGCATGCCGTTCCACCGTTCAATAAGACTTCATATCGTTTGTGGTTGTCAACATACTTTCTGATTTGCTTATTCAAAATAGTTTGAATATAACTTACTTAATCATCTGCATATCATGTCTGTAGATGTGTGTGTCTGTGAAAAATACATATTGTTGGTAAAGTGGGGCTTGAACCAAAAAAAAAGGGGGGGGTTCAGAATCCCTGGTTTAAGCCGTATCCTTATTCATCCGTCGTTACTGTGTGTAAGAAACTTGTCCTGACATGTTGCTTTCACCATTTAGCCATATGGCTCAGCTCTAATTCCAAACCAACATTCGTGGTCTATACTTTTCTGTCAGCAATTATCTAGGTTTCTTACAAACAGATTTATCAAGTTATGATCAGGTATTCCAGAAAGTCCTGTTAGAATCATTGAGTGTTTAGTGATGAGAGGCGTGGCTTCGCTCTAAGAATTTCTAGCAGAAATAACGAAGTCCACCTGGTTTGCTTAGACTAGAAAAAATGTTTCAGTAAATATTACAAGTCTTTTTTTATCAAGATGCAAAATTTAAATGATCATATACATACATTAGAAGAACTCACACCTGTGAAAATACTAGTAACTTTAGGAGTGAATGGTGCAAACAAAAGTACATTTTTATACAAAACCATTACAATAAAAAAAATCATAATTGTTTCAGAGACGCATTTAAAGAAAACGAAAAGACACGACTATTAATCTGTAACAAAAGATGTCGCTTTGCAGGTAAATAAGGGAGTTAGTTCTAAATGGACAAATATTGGATTTTTTAAAAGATTTACTTTTTTAAAGAAACGAATAAAATTTTAAACATACCAGAATAAATGCTGACTTACTATTACAAATGAAACAACTTGAAAAGACAAAATTTCCTGCAAAATTATCGTATCCATATATATTTTAAGCTATACAGTGAAAATACTGAATGTTTAAAAATCAAAATAATTCAAGCAACTAAATATTACGATTGTAAAAATAATGTAGTGCTAAACGTATGAAAAATGCCTTCGGGCACTAGGACGCATATAAAAATGAAACTTGAGTATAATGTTGCCTTTTTGATAAGTTTCAAGTATTCACTGAAACGACTTAAAATATTTAAACATAAAGTAACAAAAAACACTCCTGAATCTTACCTGTTAATACAAGTATTTTTATTAGGCGAAATGGAGATTATATAACATTTCAGTTTCTTTTAGAAGGTTAAATAACCCGTAACGAAACGCCTTCCATTTCCCATTAAAATTACGAGGCGTCCCAATAGTTGATTTTCACTGTAACACCGAAAAATAGTTTTTTTTGTTTTTTTCTTTGCAGATTGTTTAGATAATGGCACTGAGCACTGGTGAAATTTTGCGACACCCTGTAAAACGACTATAACCCTCACCTGGATTTGGTAAAAAGTATACACATTATAGACAGCTGACCCAAGCACATAAACTCTGTTAAAACATGTATACGCAATTAATTCAAAATCTTTTTAGTATAAATTTCTAAAGCAAAAAAAAGCATTTGAACACGAGTATAGGTATAAAAAATACTAATTTTTCTAGTGTTATTGATGGTGTGTGTGTTTATAGCTTAACCCTTATAATATTGCTTTAATTTTTAACCTTTGAAGTATTTTTTTGTTTGAAATTAAGCACAAAGCTACACAATGGGCTGTTTATGCTCTGCCCACCACGGGTATCGAAACCCGGTTTCTAGCATTGTAAGTCAGCAGACATAGCGCTGTGCCACTGGGAGGGGGGGGGGGTCCTTTGAAGTAACCTCATTAGTTAGGATTGAAAATAAGCAGTTCCAAGTTCAGTCCAGCTAGGCCTACTTTAACGTTTACATGTTTCAATTCCATGACGAACGAATTGAAAAAGGTATCTGCGTGTTTTATAGCAAAGCCACAACGGGCTCTCTGCTGTGTCAACGGAGGGGAATCGAACCCCCGATTTTAGCATTCTGAATCCGTAGACTTACCGCTGTCCTAATGGAGGACTTGAAAAATTCACAAAATGCTGTATATATTTAACAATAAAGAGAAGCAAAGTTTCAAACTCTATGCGTTCTTCTGATGTGATTAACAAGGATGTAAGTAAATTTCTGCTGATTACAGAATTTATCCCTTGTTATATTTATAAAAGATTTTGGGGAAATTGGTGAGTTGATACATTATTATCACTTTTTTCATTTTATTTGGTATTTATTATTGATGTTAACCAGCTACAACATATTTTAGAGAAGATCTAATGTATATTTCAAATTTCAGATATATACAAATGTGGAAACTGCAGCTGCTAGTGTTCTTCATTTAAACATTACGTTAATCACAGCAAATTACTTAGGCATCTGCAAAATAGTAGGTTTTTATATGGAATTAAACATTGTGAACAAAAACTTAGAAATTGCAACGCCTTTCCTATATAAATGACAAAGTATCATAGGTAATATAGAAAAAAAATATATTATTCCCTTCAGAAGAAAGTATATAGAACAAGTGAAACTCCTAAAAGGTTTCGTTATCGGGCTGTTTCTTTGCTGCGCATATTTCAAAAAAATTCATGCCTCTTCTACTCAACTGACCTCAAAACTGATTTTATTGGTTTAATTAAAGCATACTTGTGTCAACGTTAGTGTGAAAATAATACCATGTACAACACAAAGTCTTTGAAGAAACATAAAATGCAGCATTAGGGTTACTTAGTGATAGTGAATATGAGAAACATGATAACAGTCAAATACTGACTGGTATATAAAAAATATAGCACTATTCTACCTGAAACTGGATGCGAAGTTAATAACATTATCTTCTAATGTAGAAGAGATTTTTAGTAGCTTAACAAAGGATATATCTGTGACAATGGTAAAAACTAACTTAAGTCAATAAATATTATGATGTCAGTGACATATTTTGTGAATTTCCCGGCAGACCAAAAGAAAAAGAAAAAAAAAGCTGGTACTATTACATGTACTATCCAGGATTGTTCTTGCTGAAGTAGCATTTTTTTTTAAAGTTTACCTTGAACTAGATTAGGTCAAAATCAAAAGATTTTAATTGGACAGAATAATTTTCTGTCCCTTGGTTATTGTTTCCATCCTCATTTATAAGGGAGTGCAAAAAAAAAAGGTACAAGAGAAAAGCACAAAGTTTGGTGTACTGTAAAAGATATATTGTAGATGAAATAATAAAGAAAGCCACATTGTAAGAACAGAAGACGATGTTGATGTTGTTAAAACCAATGGATTGTTGATTGATAGTGGATATGATTCCACTGTGCATCAGCTAAAAGCCGCGGTTGAAAATGTTAAAAAGAGTTCTTCCCTTCTGTAACAGTCATAAGGTTGAAGATATTAGTTCTCCATCTCTCCCCCCACCAAAAAAAAAGAAGCAAAAAGCAAAATTCCTGTGGTTTCACTGATTGGCAGCCTTCTTAATATTTAAAAAATTAAGATCAGAGTACACAGTGAAAAGTAGAAGTATGATGTGTTTTCTTTTGCTTTCTACATGTACTTCAAATCCTACACATGTACGTTCACAGAATTGGTTTGTTTTAACCTTGCATTGTTGTACAAACATGCCTGTTGATCAGTTACTAAATCCTGAAGCCTTAATAAGAGCTTAAATATATTTTGAACCTTTGTGAACAAGACATATAATGGTTTGGAAAATTAAATTTACTTAAAGAAGAGTTCAAACATTTTAAACAAAGTTTAATATACTGGTGAAGGTTTTTGACGGTGTAAAACGGAGGAGTTCCACGCACTTTTATTTTACATGGACTAAGTACGAAATACATCGAGTAAATAGTAAAGTGCTTTCGGTCCCAAACTCTTTGGTCCTAAATAACTGATAAAGTGACTACTTAGGTTCCTAAATATCTTGCATAGTAACGTCTTAATATGTACGGATTTGGTGGTCTGCTTATATATTGTGTACTCTCACTGCTAAATATCTTGCGATAACGGTGATTGACAGATAAGCATTAATACCACTTCCTATTAAATCTTCATCTTTAACTGAACATTAATATCTGTAAGACATATATTGAAATATTATTATACGGACAAATAATGTTAAAACGCTATTGATCTATATATATATATTTGGTGGGGGTGGGTTAGTGTACGGACGTGTGATAATATACCTCGGAAACCTGTATACACCAGAATGGTTTTAGACAAAGATAAATTAAACCCTTTAATATATTCTCTCTACAAATCGACTAAATGACTATTCGCATACTTAGACAATTTTTAATTTGTGGCTTTCAGATAACGCTGTACTTTAACAGCACTACCGATTCTTCAAAGAAATACTATATATATTCATTTGGATCATTACATCAAGATTTGGCTTTTTCCTGGCTTCTGCTGAACCCTGGAATTCATGTTCATGCGGACACTTCCATTAATTACTCATTCACTTTACGTTCTTCTAAATCCTGTCTTAAAATTCACTATAACACTTTCTGTATACTCTTTCAGAGCCTATCCCAACTCTTCATGTAATTCGAGGTTCAAAGAATAATGATTATGAAGCGATTATCTTTTTCGTCAGCTAGAAATGAAATCAAGATTCCTTTATGAAGCGTTGATTTTTCGTTGACTCAATCTGAAATTTAGATTCCTCGATGAAGCGTTGATTTCTTTCATCAGCTTACATTGAAATCTAGGTTCCAATGGTTGCTTCTAGCAAACCCTGGTATTTAAAAATTGCCTCACGTGCTTTCATGAAGTCCTGTGCTTCTTTTATAGGGTAAATAGACAAGGCAGTACGAAATACGTTCTGGAATTTACGTATTACGTATAATGATATTTAGGTGGAGTGGAAAACAAACGATTGCAAGTAAACGTCTATTAATTTCCAAATGAGACTCAACCCCTTTTGTTTTTGAAAGCATATTCAGCTTTAAAAGCATTTCAAGTTTATTATTACCGGTTATAGCTTTACGTTTCTATACGATATTGCTCTACCACGCTTGTAATTTACGAGCGTTAGAAGAAAAAAAAAGGCCTAAACCAAGACAAAGACACTATACACTGTACACTATACAATTAACCAGTCCTGAGAATTATTGAATTCTTCGGCTTCTAGTTTAGTATTTTTATTAATCTATATATTCCTCTAAATCCTGATCTTGTTCTTCTAACCAGCTAAAGACTGGAAACCCCACGTTAACTGGTTTTCTTTTCGTTGGGAGATTGGGCTCCAACCGGCGACACCTGGTTGGCGGCCATACAACATGTGTTGCAATTGCTGTCACGAGACCTATAGAAACCTGTGAGAAAACATTATCTAAAAATGTTGTCAACACCAGCGGGACATTTAAAAATGTTAATGCTTAAAAGTATTCAAATATTTCTAATAGGCATGGCATGGCCTGTAGAATGTGACGGTCAATCCCACTATTCGTTGACAAAGAGTATCTCAAGAGTTGTCGGCGGATGGTGTTGACTAACTGCCTTCCTTCTAGTCTATTAATGCTAAATTTGGAACGGCTAGCGCAGATAGCCCTCGAGTAGTTTCGCGCAAACTTCAAACTATTTTTAACTAAAAATAACTAAAATATAACAAACAATGATTTTAATAGTTCGACGAAAGGTTCACAATGATGGAGTTAAAACAGTAACTTTAATCATTATAATACGTATAACATATATTTTGCAAAGTTTAAACTCTGAAGTAAAGGAATTATACTGGGAATCTGTTTAAACTCGCAATATCATTTGTTTGTTTTGATGGATTTCACACAAAGCTACAAGAGGGCTCTCTGCGATAGCTTTAAGTCTGATGGCTTATAACGCTCAAAACAGATACCCGTGGCGGGCACAGTATGGACAGTCCATTGTGTAGCTTTATGCTTAACAAGAAAACAAACAAAGCTTTCTTGTCAGACCGGATAATGAGATTTGATTGTCACTTTTATAACGCACCCACGTATCAAAAGTCGGGATAGTGATTTTGTTTTTTGGTGTTAACAAGACGCGAACCACGGAACTTCAACTTCACAGCCTGGCACGCTAGCCCCTACAATAATACATAGTAATAGGATTTAGATATTTAAGGCTTTAGAAGAACATTTATTATTATTTCAACAACTGAATATCGAAATAACTCGTGAGTCACAATTACGATACATAATGAAACGGTTTTATTGATCAAATGATGGACCACGTGATTCAATAACAAAAGGCTTACTTTTCACACTTACGGTTTCAGCATTTCAGAGCGAGAATAACTGATGAAAATATAATTTTTAAGTTTGAAGTGAAATATTAACGATATAATACCTTCCTTTAGAACTTAATATATTAGTTTCCGTATAAATCATTTAGTTCAACATAACTGTATATTATTTACTTGATGAACAAATACCTGAAAAAAAAAGATTTAACCATAGCTCAAACAATGACTAACCATCTCAAAACATAATTTTATTAATTTACCGTAAGTGGTTAAGCCAAACAAAAATAAAACCCATGAAGTAACTGTGTGCAATATGCCGTTATCAGGCTTATCACATGAAACTTTATTTAAAAAACTCAATATTCTTTTTAGTTAATAACAAGCACAATAAAAACCCTAAACCATTAACGCCATGATGCTTAAACAACGAATTTTAAAGGAAGAGTAAATATAATATACAGTTCCAGACTTACGGGCCCGAAATAGTTACTATCCATACTGTGTGAGTGGTGATCGCCTTCAACCCAGCAATGTCCTTGTGGAACTTTCACGTATTTTTCCTTGTAATTAAGCGTTCTGGTAAAATATTAAATAACTGTTACTACATATAAATTTTACAGTAAAACTGAAACGAGCAATAAGTTCTTTCCACACTTAACTTCTGAAACTGATGTAAGTAACTTTAGGTAAACCATATAATCTACATTCATTCTTTTTTTAGATAAAAACTGACGACGACATAGACAGGACACTTTCCTTAATCAGATTTAATGTGATTAGAGTTGAAACAATGACGATACGTGACGAATTATTCAAAGTGCTTTAATTACGTTGTGACGAGGAAAATTCATATGGAATAACACTTAATACGGAACTGAATTTTTGTGTTTGAACGTCAGAAGTTCAATAATAGCGATACGGTGGCGGATTTAATGGGTTCTAAGGGTTCATCGACCTCCTCCCTCATCAGATCCGGATAATTAACTGTTATAAAAAAAAAGCAAAATATCTTGAACATTTCCACCTGCAATATACAAAACGGCAACGTTAATGTTCGTCTGGATCTTTCTGATACTGAAATTAGTATAACACTCCTTATAAAATAACACTCACTATGATTACTTCAGTGATCAAATTGTCCAATAGGAAACGTATTAAATGTTCGTGATCTGAGTAGCAACGTTAGTATGTTAAAGAAGAGATGCGCAAAAAAAAAAGAGCAAGATAGAATATATTGGACTGTTTTTTCAAAGATACGGACATAATTTGTTTCATAGAGATATTTCTTAGTATGCTCGTGATTAAACGACTCATTTAAATAAGGACATCAAAACTAGAATATACAATATACATAGCAAGTCAAGGCAATGTGAAACAGACACACACAATCCGAAAACACACACTAACAGAAAAATGACCACTATTATTTACACCAGTAACACAAAATACACCCTTACAGACTACAACATACACTTACGCAGAGACAGCACATCACAATCACTAAATCAAGAAACGCAAATTTCAACAAAACCAGAAACAACCTAACAGTTCAAATGCACAACAAAAAGAAAAATCAAATCACAGAAAGTTAACCAACAAACATACTTGAAACCGACACAAATCCCATCGTTACTGCAATTAAAAATACATTCTTAGAATTCATACAACAGCACATAAATCCCCAAAACAATACTGACGGCTTCACACTTTTAATAGAAGTACCTAAACAATATCTAATACCTGCTATCCCACACTTATTCTTGAGCCCAAATACAACACAATCAATTAACAAAATATCTGAAACCAAATAAAATTGAATGTCACCCCATTCCAGAGCTTTACCTACACCGGTCATAGGTTAACATTCATGGACATGGCTCTGAAAAATACAGGATAAACAGAAAATAAATTAAAAAGACTACAAGTCTCAAACAAGTCAAGAAGGGAGGAAGCGGTAAAATATGCACCGACTCTCCCAGGTCTACAAAAGACTTAAGTTCCGATGACGCTTCTACTGGATCCAAGCAGCTGAAGGGTCACCTGACTCACGGGGATATCTTTTTCCAACAAAACTTTGACTTTTTGCTTGTTTTAGTATCTTATTCATTGAAAAAAGTGTCTTCAATGAAAGCGACCAAAACACACCACTCAGTAACGGATTGACGTCTAAGTACTGCATCAGCAAGGCATTTTTCAGTCAGGCATATGTGCGGTATTAGCATGCTGATTGTTGCAGTGGTGTTAGTGTGACTTTTTAACAAGTGTATTAGTACGTGTTGGAGCTTTTTAGTTCATAGAAATATTGCAACTAGTATTTTTTCAGTGAGAGAGTCCAAACATATTGATGCTAGGGAATCCCAATGGTCTAACACTACCCCTGACTTCCTATATGCATGTACAGGCTAGATGCTCCTTGGCCAATCTAGATCACTTTAATTTTTATTTGTGAATGTAATCTTTCACTTTTAAGCTTCCTAAAAATTTACCTCCCCTCGTCAAAATCTAAGATCCAACATTGGTAGTAGGTGGTCGTGTTCCTCAAGGTAATTCGAATAATCCATGATACTAGAAGTACTATTTAGAAACAGTCAATATTCAAATTATTACACTACTTAGCTGTGCCAGTAGGCAAAGCAGTTTTGATGCCAACAACTAATAACTCACTTACACACTATCCTTAACTCCTCCGTTAGTTGAACATAATTAAATTTTATAATGACCTACGCAATATACTAATACGTAATACTGTGTAGACTATTTATATCCTACGATCCATGATCGATAATAACGTTTACAATATTTGAAGTTTTAAAGAATATTGTACAGAAAGATCAACATATAAGATTTCACTATCTTAATCTTAAGGAACAACAGTCGGCACACAGCGTCCTAACAAACAGTAGGGGGATTGCTATCGTAGTAAATCATTGACCCTTGTAGAACCCAAATAAAACTTATTTCTCCAAAATTAAGAACTTGATAAAGTAGTTGCTCTAGATAGTCTTCGTGTATTTAACACAATTAAAATTTGGTGATTATATGTGTAAAATAATTTGGAATTAGTATCTCGTGAGATATTATTGGGATTGCGAAATGTTATTGAGATTGTGGGTAAAAATATCATGACAAGGAACGGTTCCAAAAATGCAGTGCATTCTAATCATTATAAAGTTTTCGGTTTATTATGTATTTATTTCTTACATCATATACTTCTAACCAGTTGGTTATACAAGATAAGATTAATTAATACATAACATACGTATTATGTTTAGGTGATTATAGGATAAGCAAACAAACGAAAACAGAGAAAGAACATGGATTTTTTCTTTGTTAGAACATAAAACACTAATAGTAAATTGTCCGTTAAACTAAGATGCTTATGAGACAAATAAATCTGTATAATGTACTAGATTAAAACGAAACTTAAACAGAAGTATTGAATTCATTTATACTTTATTAATAAGGAGGTCATAAGACATCTATAGTTTGTATAGAACAGTTATTTGTACACACACAACGAATTACTGTATGTAAAAGAACTTCATAAATTAGATAATTTATTAATTAGCAAATACAACAATGAACAAACCTACAAGAACTACTCACTCTACGTTATCTGCAGTAGTTACCTTTCCATTTCTTGATAATAACATTTTAAAATAAGAACAACAACGGGTGACACTTCATTAAAGAAAGCATGATTGAAAACATAAAGTTTGATTAAAGTTCTAAAAAAAATTTACTTAATTATAAATACGATGCTATCAAGTGATTAAAGAGCGCTATACTTTCAGATATCTATTTTTTCTTTACACGTAATTTCTTTTTTTTACGTTATATAAAAATACAAAAAACAAATATGAACACCACACGAATTGCATTCGAATTTCTTCCTACATCCAACCAGAATATGCATTTTATAACACTGATTAAAGTAGAGAAGCGCCAACAAAATCTTTGAGAACGAAATTTTTAATCACAGTTTACGTTAAATGAGGCGTTGTACATCATGTAAAATGTTTAAGAATATTTGATGAACCAAGTAAGTCCAATGATTCGCTAAATCCAATATTCGCAAGTCGTCTAAGCATCGACCAAGCTGTGTGACATAATCTAACGGCTCCTACTACACTGTACAGTCGAAAAACTCTGATCTTTTCTATGACACGTTTTCTGACTATTTATTTTTGAGTGTTCAGCTGATATGTGAATGTTATAGTTAACTCTGAGACAAAACATGTCTGATTTACAATGTAATCATCTGCACATTCTACAGCTTCAATAATCAATATACGGATACGGGTGTATAAGAGCCTCAAAAGCAATTTCTTTTTAGAATATTTAAACTGCGTAGGAGAATCTGTGTATTTTCTGTTGCACTTATTAGAAAATTACGTTGAATTTCAACTGAACTTGTTAGACAAATAAACATGCATTAGTAAACTTAACTTGTAAAAATATAAGCATACATGGCTTTTGGGTACAGAAAAATATCTGTAATTTATGCCTAACTCATCAGACGAAATCAAATTTATAGGTAATCTGCATGATTTCTGTTCAACAAATGAGAAAGATAGAGATGTGGGCAAATTTGTATAGTTTCTCCCTAATTCCCTAGACAGATGTTGGTGCAGAGAAAGCTGTGTGTAATTTCAGGCAGGCATCGTGTATGCGATAATGCGTAATTAAAAAAAAAAAGGATAATAATAGAAAAATGCAAAACTGATGAAATAAAAAAATAACTTTTGGCAACGTTTGCTCAAAAATAAAACAAAATAATATTTAAAGTGAATTATCTCCAAAAGTCTAATCTCTATGTAATTTAAGACTAATTCATTATACGGTGTAACAAAACCTGTATACATTTGTTCCACTTATTAGATAAAGGTACAGATAAGCAAATCGTGTGTAATTTTTAACAGATTAAACAGATGCGGGTTGTAGGCGAGTCTGAGATTTCTAATTCAATCACTAGAAACATATCATTGCGGTGCATGTGTGTAATTTCGGCCTTACTACTTAAACAGTTATGGATAATGTGCATAATTCTGCCTATTTTATAGGACATATATTCAGGTATTGGTTCTGTACACAAACCTGTGCAATTCCTGTTGAAATAGTACACATATATTTTGCCTAATTCGTTGGACTGATATGATAGAAGAATTTACAGAATTTCTGTTTGAAATATTAAAATGAAACGATTGTACAATGCAATCTGAATATTTGATACTGAATTCATCAGACACACACGTGTAGGTAAATCTCCGTAATATCTGCTGAACTACTTATACGATAAATTTTCAGAAAAAGCTGCGTAATTTCTTCTTTACCTCATTTGAGCGGTACAGGCAAATTTACGCAACTTCTGGCTAAGTAATTAGAAAGATACACGTGTAATTGAACCAGGCAATTTCTGTTAAACTCATTAAAATGAAACAGGTTATGTGAATGTGCGCAATTTCTTGCCCATTTCACATGATGAATACAGATGTAAATGAACCTACATTGTTTATTTCTAACCCATTGGACATATTGAGGTATAGAGAAAATCTGCGTAACTTCTGCTTAATTCATTAGGTTGATTCGGATATACAAAAATCTGTGTAATCTCTGAGTAGATTACTTTCAATGTTTTGATCATGTGAAATAATCAAAGTGCAGTAATTTGATAAAAACGCGAAATTTGAAGAAAAAATTTAAAATACAGAACTTTCATAGTTCAAGTAATTAATCATTAACAGATTCTTAATGGAATTTATAATGAACATGCAGTATTTTTTACCTGCTTTTTAACATAACTTTGAGAAACTTCAGAGCTATGACATGCCAATTACACACAACTTGCTATTGATGACACTAAGATTGCTTAAATTAACATAAATCCTTATGGAACGCAATGTAACAAGAGACAATGTTGAACTTTTCCCCATAATAATAATGATTTTTTATGTATTCTTTTTTTTTAGCAAATCTCGAATTACATTGGTTATTCTCCAGACCCATATCCTTCCACTGTTCGAAAATTGAGCGAATCTTGATTCGTCTGAGAACAATACGGTCTTCCAAAAGTCCAGAGGCTTGGTCATCATATCACTTGTCCACTTATTTTGTCTGACTATGTTAGCAGGTCTTAATAAGAGCTTCCGTCCAGCTGCTCTGCAACGATAACCCAATTCGTGGAGAATCCGTTGAACAGATTTCGGGCTCATCCCACTAACTTTGGCCACTTCTGCAGTCGTTAATCTGGGATCCATTTCAATGCTCCTCTTGACAGCCCTTTTTGTCCTCTCCGATGGACCAGGACGACTCGGACGCTGCTCAGTTGTTTTCTTGCC